AAGCTGCTCCCGCTTCTATCTCTCCAACAATCCCAAATGTGTCGCATTCTCGTGGACGAGGAATTGCTCAACTTTTGCGACAACGCTCGTTCCATATTTTAGCCGTGCAGCAATGGCGCTATTTCGTGAGCACGGCTGTGAGTAGAGAACACACAAAAACGTGAATGAAAAAAATCATTTCAGCAATGTTCAATGCGTAGAAATTACCCATGTGTATGTTAGTGTTGAGTGATCGAAAGGATGTGTAATGGCAATGGAAAGAGCATTGACTCTCGTTGTGGAAACATTTTGCATTGATTGGCCCAAAAAATCATATATTGCCATCCATTACGCTATGGTGTGATCCATAGAATACATACAAAAAATCGGAGTTACGCATTTGCAAAAATAAATGACACGGATGGAAGGTGTATGCCCGTGCGGACTTTTAGAACTTTATTTTTAAAAACTTTTCTGCAACCTGATAAAGAGCGCTAATATTGTGGGAAAGACGTCCTAAAAAAAGTTAAGAAGTCTACACTGAGCAGAATCTGAAGAAAATACTGCTGCGGACAAAACTCTTCAACATGACTGAGCTTGAGGTCGGAAATGAAGGTAAGCTCAGCTGTGTGTGCAGAGCAATACATTGCAATACAACTCAACATACATGAAAGTTGTTATTCTTTGTGTGCCACACAGGTTTTGTACGGTGGAATCTTTATTGAGACTGACGTTTCGACTAACTCGTCGTTCTCAAAGTCCTGAAAGCGTTTTGAAACACTCAAATGTTACCTATCCGCTCATTATTATCTACATTTGACCAAGCATTACGCAGGCTAATGAACTAACGACAGGAAACTCCAAGAATGGGTCACCTACCTCAACTCCGCCAGCACCACCGCTCTTCGTTCAACAGCCTCCTCGATGCCTTCCAGAGACAGCAGAATAAAATGAGACAACCAGCCATGCCTGCTTATAAAGAGTGTGCGTGCAGTGCACGAAACGTCGTTAGTCGAAGTTAAACGAGTTAGTCGAAACGTCAGTCTCAATAAAGATTCCACCGTACAAAACCTGTGTGGCACACAAAGAATAACAACTGTTCAAGATCAAAATGCCCAGGTTTCGAGAAAGACGGACATGGAGGATAATGCAATGTATTATCCGATTTACCCCTTACTCTAGTTGAAAAGCTATGGGCGTCAGTAAAAACAGGATAGGCAAGCACTTTATCTATTAAAGCGAGGGATTACGATAGAGTTTGGACTGGGTTCATAGTGGAAGTGGAGATGCTGAATAATGCCCCAGTGGCGAAAAAAGCAAAGAAATCCGTCAAGAAGGCGCAAAATGGACCCTTTCTTTGCCCGTTGACCTCCAATAATGGACGAGCTAGCAACCAACCAAAAGGTCGTTTGCACATGTTAAGCTAATAGCCACCATCACACCAGTGCAGACCATGCTTTGATTGATGACGCAATTCATGGAAAAGTTATGGTATATAAGCACTAAATGGAATACCTCATCCAAATGTGAGAGCAATGATGCTGCTAGCAACACACTAATGGGCGGAACACAGGCGGCAGAGGCGGAGCTCAGGGAGGATTGGTAGGTCTAGGGCACCCAACTAGGCGACTCTACTCGCCACGAAAGAACATCTCGCTTCCTTAGGCCCCTGACTTCCGCTTCCACTGGTGCATGTACTTCCACGCTTGCACACGCACTCTAAGGTAATCTCTGATCGTGAGTGAAGCTCGCTCTTCTAGATGCACCACAACGCAATGTTTGAAGAAGTACGCAAGCATTCATGGGTCCCGAATGGAACCCTTACTCGAAGCTCCTAAAAACTGTCCGTATCCAACTATCCTGCAGCATTTCCGTTTTCACAATGCTATGTAAATATCTGTAGCTCAATCACATTTCAGTTCAAATTACTCTTTCTGCGTCATATCACTTCACATTGTTAGCCTTAGTAGACTCTAAACCGTCAAGGGCCGATGCGAACGCACGGCAGGACGTACAAAGAGCGTTCAAAATATCATAGTGTAATTCCGCCAATCTCTGTGGAGATCGCAGTGAGCATTAAAAAATTAGGCAATGATGCGGCATCCGCTTCGCTGGCCAGCTTCACACGCGAAAAACGATGGGTAACAAATAATTCAATTAACAGTAACGTGGACCAATTACTGTAGGAAATGGCAAAAAAATATCCAGTATTGTATTTCCCTCCACTAGAGGTACAAAATACGCAACAGGCCGATTAAAAAGGCCATTAAGGGTATGGTTGCGCACTGAACAAAACGGTCTTCGTGCACTGCGAATAGGAACTAGTATTACGATTAGACTACAAATTACTGTAGAAATGGCAAAAATAGTTATAGATATAGTTCGCTGAGCGGCCCACAAAGGCCAAAAAGTGTTGAAGAAATGGTCCAAGGTTCAAATCCCCATGGTGGCGAAATTTTCACCTCTAGGTTGGAAACTTCCAAATCTTGTCATAGTGCCTCCGCCAATAGTATGTGTCATATTTATTGCCAGAACCGAAGAATTTTCGCTAGAAGTTCCATACACCACTGCAACGCTGTGAAATAACCCACTCCGAGGAACTTCTCGATACTTTTTTAATTTCAGCGACCGTTCGGTGAAAATGAACCTCAGTTTTGTAGCTAGGTGAGAGCCCCTACGCGTGCAAAAAAAAACCAATTCGGAAAGCGCTTTACACCTCGAAGGACCTCTTCTGCAGAAGGAGTATCTTGCATTAATTTAGGAAAGCTGAAGTGCTAACATCCATGGAAACAACTTACGAAGTGATTTTTATGACTAATCATTCCAGCAGAAGTGCGAGGATCGAACAGCGACGGATTGTCAAGAAAAGCCGACGTAAATGGGGACATATCGGATTCCAAGTCGAACCTAAAAGACGAGGATCTTTTGAAAAAGAGACACTATTTGAAGCAAGGAGGATGTGAAAAAAGCTTGGATTGATTAAAGCCAGTGGCCAGGATCGAGCTGGGCCATCTTTGCGTTTGAAAGAGTGTGCAGAGATGCAAAATGGAACGCCAGTGAGGGGAAAATGAGGAGAAGCCTTCGACGAGACAGACACTAAATGCAAGCCCCGGGATGAAACTGGTGTACAAGAGCGCATCATGATGATCGATTAGGTGCGGAATGGACTGAAAGTGGAAAGGAAAGCAAAAGAAGATACGAAATACGCCAAAATTAGGGCTTCAACAACCAGTAAGGTTGGCTGCGGTAAAATGGCAAGACAAGGCGACCAAAGAAGACACACCACACAAGAGAGCGAGGAGAGTGCAGTGACCTCCACATCAATCGCGGTGGGTGGGAAGCGTTGCAACGGGGTCGATGGTTGCAGCCCCTTAAGGATTAGCGCCCTAAACCGCATTTTCTGTGACTGACGTGGCACGCTCCTGTAGGTACGGACACTCCAATTTCCCTCATGGTATCCTTCCTACTAATCCCGGGACATGCCTTTCTGTGACTGACGCTTTCGCAGCTGTTGCGGAAGGGTTTGAAAGGCAAGCCCCAAGATTAGTAGGAAGGATACCGTGAGGGAAGTTGTAGTGTCCGTAGAGTGTTTCCGAACGAGTTTTCCGGAATGGTCACCTTTGCTGGCTCTGTGCACTAGTCGATTCAACCCAGCTGATTTTACGCCATCTACGCACCACCTCTCGTGAAAGGCGGTCATAGTCTAAGTAGCAATGGGCCAGAGGCACTACTACATAGTCACGAGGGCAGCACCTTAAGTCAGTTGTCCACAAAGAGTTGTTTACGATACAAGATCTATGGGATGCTACTATTTGAGCTGCCAAACATCTTCTTGCACTCTCTCAAGTAATGGGCCATGTTCTTCGTAAAAGGAAATCAGGCAAGAGACCTTTATCTGATTTATTTCATTTATTGAATGGACTTATTTTAGTGCTTTCATCGATAGACTACGGCCAGTTCGGCGCAAGATCTGAAATAGTCATACCATACAACCGTGCTGTTCTTCCCAGTAGCAGATGGGCTGAAGCGCTTCAGATGGAAAACGATCACAGATGGCAGAACTCTGAAGTTGTAAAGTATTGGAGTAAGAATTATATTAGTTTGGAATTAAAGAGGAAAATGCAAATGTCCTTTCTGTAACGGAGATGGGGGTAGAAAAATACTATTTCGACCCCACAGAAATGCATTCAACCCATATTGTGAGAACACTGCTAGCAAGCATCTGGATACCTGATTTTACGGCTCCGAAATCGTAAATAAATGTGAACAGTACGTAAGAAATTTTTTGATCTCTTCTCTTGGAAACAGGTTCAGATTGGAAGTCGATATCCCCTTTTGTGAGGTGTTTGCAACTCTGGTAATACAATAACCAACTTGAAACTCATTCGACGCGTTGCTCTCATGCATCCACATCGTTCGCAGTTTCGGTCTAAATCTTCCTCTTGCACAAAACCTGGAATTTTTTGCACATTGATAAAGAAGATGCTGTTGAATTCTACACTCACATTTCTAAACATGTTTTGATTCCTATCTGATCAGCTGGGGATGTCGCCGGAACAATCAGTGATACATCAAGAAACGGTTGAGTGGATGACGAACACCGATCTATTAAACAAAACATGTGTCGTGTGACCACGAACTGATGAAGCTCCTGATTGAAAAAAAAACTCACGAGCATTTATTGCAAATGATATCTGAGCGCAATTTGCCAGTGAATGTCTGGTGTACAATGCACTTGCATGAATCAGTTTCGGTCACCGGCGAAGAAGAAAAAGGCGCTGAAACATTACTAATTTCAAAATATTCTTTACTGAT